TACGGTTGATGGATGAAATGGGAGCTGCGATACCTTTCCTGCCTTCTCTGCGGCGGATCCGAGTCGCGGAAGGGGCTGGAGAGGTAGTGCAAGCATTCTTCCGGACGCCAACCGAAGTTAGAGCTTTCGCCGCTGCGAGGAAAGCCTGCGCATGTGCAGAACCTTTTTTTATTTTTTTGAGAAACGGTTCATTAATCTTTTTTAAAAATAAAGTACAAAATGTCCAAAAGAAATTGCAGAATATATATATATTTGTTTTGCGCAAAAATTAATTACGCGTTGCCGAACGCTTTTTTTCCGCCCAAATGTAGCACTTGAGGTCCGAACTAGATTCCAAAGGTTCAGCCCGAAACGATATCTTATTCAAAAGTTATAAGTGATTTTCTGAAAATTGCAATGGGAAAAGGGGGCACATTTTCGACCATTTTCGGTTTCTGGCTCCATTGAGCTGCATGCATTCGAAAGCTCCGTCATCCGCCATTTTCCCATTGAAATTTTCAGAAAGTCCCTTATAACTTTTGAATGAGGTATCGGATCGGGCTGGAACTTTGGCATCTGGTTGTGACCTCTAGCGCTAGCTTCGGGCGGAGAATGAGCGTTCGGCGATGCCTAATTTATTTTTGCGGCAAAAAAAAAAAAAAAAAAAAAAAAAAAACCTGTACATATTTTTTTGGAACACCCTGAGCCTTTGACCAATCGTGAAAAGCCGTCTACAGCGGCGCCTTCGTTCGGACACATCGTCAGTATACTTCGTTTCACGTTCGGTAGGCTGCGTTTACATGAATGCGATCAGCGCATTGAATCGAGCGGGAACCAATCCCACGCAGCCTGTCTCTCTACTTCTTCCTTTTCTACCCATCTGCTACCAACCAAAATAGTCAAATCTCGATTCGATGCGATACCACGAACGCGACCGTAGCGCATCGAATTGAAATATGACGATTGTGATTGGGCAAAAGAAAAAGAAGCAGAGGGACTGGGCGAGTGTGATTGGTTCTCCCTCAATTCGACGCGCTGCTCTCGCGTTCTTGTAAACGCAGCCGCTCGGGCAGGGCAAGTTTCATTTAGGACTTACGGCGGCGAAATGGTGCATATTTAGGATATATTGAACGACATAAGGTGTTAATAAGATCGTCAGTGTCGTTCAAGGCATATATGCAATTGCTGTACAATCAAAATTCACGCGTAATTGTCTTTTTTTTTCTTTTTTATTGATGTGGGGTTATATTTTGTTTATGTTCAGTTTATGTACGACTTTCGGTTGCATTTGTGTCCCAGCCTTTAGAAATACGCAGTATGGACCGTGTCCTCTCCGCAAGGTAGTCGGCCAGTGTCCGCAGTTGTTATTTCTGTAAGGTCTGAACTCCACGGGGTGAATGTGCGGCGAACACCTGACGAACTCCGCCCGGCGGCAGGTTCGCTTAGCATCAGCAACCACCGTTCTGACGCCACGCGCGACAGGGCGGACACCGGTAGACGAAATTCTTCGCTTTCTTGCGCCATGCAGTTCAGTCTCTATACCGCAACATCTGCTAGACAATTCCATTCTTTATTTTCCTCGCTTAAAATGTTACGTTTATTCCTTTTCTTGTTAAATAAATAAAAAAAAAAAAAAGACGGAAATCTATTTGCAGGCCCCGGGACCTCTTAAACATTTTGAGTTTCAAAACTTAATAAATGTAAAGAAGGAGTATAAGAAAATGTTTAATTATAATAAATGATCCTTGCATCATGAGCTATCTTATAATACATAAATTAGCGTTTTGAATTGATTGTTATCAGGGCGAGGTTCCAAGTAAAGTCACGAAGTACCGCCTGCACTCTCGCGCGCTAGGAATCGATCATTGTTTGTCCCTGCGAAGGTCGTGTTTTCAAACCCAACTGTTTCCTAGACTTCGTCATTCACTCCCAGTAAAAGACGAAGTTCAGGACCTATCTTGCTGTGGCTTTCCGCTTGCTGTGGGAGAAACGAAATGCTCTCAGGCATTTTAAGGTCTTGCAACATCTTCGAAGACGATTCAGTCGTCCAAAGACTTTCTGTACAACACACTGAAAGAGTCGGAGATTTTTATTGCTATCTTTCGCTGCAGAAGATACGGAATTCTCGACAGAGCTCCAAGCATTGACACCGTTCAGACAAATCCAAATCGTCTATACCCGTTTTCACCTCAAGAAAACGGTAAGTTTTGCGCATTGTTCATACGCCGCGCGAAATAGTTCTCGCCAGATTTGGTTGTCGGAGGCCCAGGCGATGCTTTTGGCGTTTGAAACGTGTACTGCTTGATAAGATAACGTGTATCCACTCTAAAATGCTAATAAATATATCTTAAATCTCCACCTAAAGGTGAAAATTAGTAACCATCCGCGAGAAGCCGGACTTTTTTTCCCATGGTTCTTGAGGTGAAAACAGGTATAAATACTTTCCGCGAAAAACATATTTCCGCGCGTGCGCCTGCATGCGCACGCGCGATCGTGTGTGTGTGTAAGAGACCGAGCAAGCGAGCGAGCAAGCGCGTTTGTGTGTGTGTGTATGTGCGCGTGTGTACGTGTGCGTGCATTTGCGCGCGCGTGTGTGTGTGTGTCTTGGATTTAGCCGAGAAGAAAATCCAGAGCTTCGTAATGTCACCGTCCTTAGTCACGTGCACTTTCTTGGCGAGCTTGTGCGCTATACGACGGAGTTACGATCGCCGCCTTATAACAGCTGCATGCTGCAGGCGCGTGCATGGCAAGGCTGCTCGCCACAGCTGCGGCGCGCCGTCTTGGAGTAAAGTGTCCAGTTGAACTCAGTTGGACCCTTCTGGTTTGTGTCGACGGGTCCCCCGAACGCCTCCATCGACGAAGGATTTACAGGTGTGGAGAGCTCGTTGTTTCGTCATGTACGTTGGATCTTCAGTTGTTTTTTTTTTCATGTTCGTGACTCCCGACGAAATTTTATAGGCTTAACACCTGAATTTCCGTTCACCATATGTTTGAAAGCAAAAAATATGTACTCAGAACAGCAGCGCCGACGTTTAGCAGAAAGAGTCCTTGGCTATCCACCTCAAAAGGGCAGGGCGTTTTTCTAAGCGAAAGTGGTCTGTGCGCACACGCGCGTGCGTGTGTGCGTGCGTACGCGCGCGCGCGGGCATGTGTGTGTGCGTGTTTGTTTCTATTATTTAACCCGTTTTGGTTTTCTGTCAGGAAAGCAGCTTTACGTTTTAATAGCTTTTGTTTTGCCTTGCAGCCTTTAAAATTGCATTCGTATGCCTTGCCTAAGCTGCCGCGATTTATCTATAAATTATAATCTTTGAAATGTTGCGCAAAGGATTATACTAACCTTACACCTTTTTGATCACGAGTTTCGACCAGGGTCGGCTTGCTAGAAGAGCGTCTCAGCTGAGACTGGATGAAAGAAAGCACTGCAAAGGCTGGGGCGCGCGAGCGTCTTAATACTTTTTGAGTGGTGTTGGCTCAGCTCGTCCGCTGGCTTTGGCTGTGTTTTTTTTTTTTTTTTTTTTTTTTTCTTTTTTTTTTAGTCTCAGCTGAGACGTTGTTTCTAGCAAGCCGGCCCAGGATATAGACTTTGGCGTTAACTCAGTGGGACGGAATTCATACACCGCGACATGTTGTTTGCAATATAAGATCTGAAGTACAAGCTCAGCTTCCAGCAAAAGCTTTCTACTTGCGATAAATCACTTCGGCGTCTTGTAAAGCACTGTCAGTCAAAGCATGCTAGAAGTCAAAGAGTTAACTCACTTGACTTCATCTTATCTCGTTTTATTTACTGTTTTCGCGGATGGACATGCAATCCTTACCAGCTAGGCTAATCTAAAGTGTCACTTTTACTCGAAAGAATTGTGAAAAAAAAAAAAAAAAAAAAAACATTCTAAATGTGGACATAGTGTACTCATAACCACATCGATTATAGATATATCAGAACCATCTTCGTTATTCTAAAAATTATAATTAAAACGTGCAGCATACTTAAGTGTAAACATTCTTCATCCAGATATTGGACATCCCAGCTCAACGATCTTTGTAACATCGGTTTAAATATTTAGTCTCGTTATCTTCTGCTCAAATTCAACAGATCAGATACACGTGTTACGATTATAACGCAATTACATGAAAAGTTGCAACCTAGCTGCAAGTTAGCTGTGTTTGGAGATTTGTGTTTGTCCTTTGTCCCTGTTGTTCCCCTTCCTTCTCCAGGGATTATTTTCGACATATTACGACCGTTTCACACAGGGGCGTTTGCTTACAATTTCTTGCGTTACGTGAGGAGTCACCGAGACATTCGTGTTCCGATGACATTCGCTCCTTGAACCGGTCGCCACGCATGTCGCGGTGACTTGCAACGTAAGCGGTCGTACCCTAACGTAACGTAGAATAACGCCCTTCCGTGAACCGACCTTTTGTTTCGTAATGTAGCACTGTAACACTGGAACTAAAAGACGTGATCCATGACAGCGTCTCATAATGTTTCTTCAATGGATCTGAGTAGTGTGTCTTCTCCCTGTTTATGCTCTTCGCGCGCACACGCTGGAAGTTCTCGAGACGCCAAATCGTTCTCGAAGGTATACCTGCCGTTCTAAATTCCCCTCTGTCCTGCAGTATGTCTCGTGAAAGCACTTTTCACAAAGTCGCGCGCTCGCTGCACGGCATTTTTGAGACAGAAGTACAGAAAAACTGCGCTCTTGCTGTGAAGAACACCCGACGCGCGCGATGCGCGTGCTAAGCACAAGCAGAACGCATCCACCAGCGGGATTTTGCTTTTTTTTTTTTTTTTTATACCGTGACAGGTTACGTACGCTTGCAGAACAGCAGCCAGGGATCCCGCATTGAGGTTAGCTGCAGCCGCCGTCTGTTCTCGCAGCTGTTTTCTAGCCACCGCGTGAGCCTGGGACTCCCGGACCAGAGTGCGAAGCTGACTTTCCTCTCAGTCCGCACTCGCCGAGCTGAAACGTCTGGTCGTTGTCCCCTCTGCATCTCCCCGTGGCTTTGACTCAACTTTAGGGGTTCAAGCACCCGAAGATTGTGTCCGAGTTGAGAACGACGTTTGAGGGTAGGTGTCCTGCACCTTGATCACTTTCTTTTTTCTTTTCTTTTTTTCTTGCGTGGGCGTGTTTGGCGTTTATGTAGTGTGGTCGAATCTCCGTGATTTTCGTTGAGGTGCATTTAGGTTCGGCTTCGATTGGACGTTCGATCGCGCAGCTTGAAGTGCTCTTTGGAAAAACATGCTCGCACTGGATGTCTCGAGCGCAGTCTACTCGTCAGCCAACCGTGAATTCGGAAAATAATATACCGGAAAGTGGTTCATTTGGAACGAGCACAAAAGTCCCAGAGCATTCCACGATGGCCGGGTTTATACCTACTCCGTTCACTTGAAGCTCCGCCTTCAGCGCGAGTTTGCTGGCTTCCGTAGTGCTTTGGTTGCGCGTACCTGCGGGTACACACTTGTGTTAGCAAGGGCAGAAAGCTCGCGGTTAAAGTGTCTTCATGTGCGCTTTGCTTAGGGTGAAGACATCTGGTCATTTTGTACACACGTTTATTTTTCTTTTTTGTTCTGAAGCGCGTGAAAGAGCGTGTCCCTGCACGCGTTTGTGGCGCTGACACTGCTATGGCGACCTTTTGTTTTCGTCAATTTCTTTGTACTTTACCCGTGAGCACTTGCTGTCGGCATCGGGTACTACAAAGGGTGGCATCACCCTAAACAGAAGGACATTGAGGCACCCTACTCGCGGTGATGGGGGAGCTTCTAGTAGGGTGAACGGAGTTTAGAGTGTCTTTTCTCGCGGTTGGGCGCTTGCGAGCGAAGCCACCGAAGCACGAGCGCGCGTGGAGATATTATACTTAAAGTGTAGCGCTCGCTCTTGTAGCTTCGCTCTCTTTCGCTGGCACTTATGCTGAAACGGATTGTTCGCGAACTCATATCCGTGGAGTCAAGCCAACCTTACAAAATACAACATCTATTGTCTCTCCCTCTATCTCTTCGACTTCACTTCTCGACGGTGGCTCTTTTTGTTGTTTCATGTGCAGATTGTGGACATTTGGTACGTACCTGTGTCATGCACTTTAGATTTTAGCGTATAGTAGAAGCTACAAAAGCGAACTTCGCGCTTTAAACTTGCATGCCGAGCAGCATGCTGGGGGATCGGTGACTGAGTGAACTAGCGCACACCAGCTTGGATCACGTGGAGCGAAAGCTCGCGCTGCAGAACCCACCCCTGCCCGTTTCGATCTCGATGAGCTTCGTCCCGGCGTGCCGTCGTGTATCGCTACTGCGTGATGCACGTTAAAGACCTTAGGCTGGTGGCTGAACTGCACTGGCTAAATTTCTCATCCACAACTGTGACATCAGAGGCGCATTGAGGCTAACTTCCAGCTGTATAAACATACGTGCAACATCAACATTATTATTATTGAGCAGCATGCTCGCACTCATCGTGAAACAAAGATAGCCTTCTGCATATGTGCCCATATTTTTCAATTATTACATTGCGTGTATGTTTACACCGCTGGAAGTTAGCCCAAATGGGCATCTGGTGTCTCAGCTTATAGATGAGCGATTTAGTCAGCGCAGGGCGGGAAAAAAATTGGGTTGTGTGTATGTTTATACAGCCTAGAACTTGGTCTGCCTCAATGGGCGACGAGTCTTTCAGCTGTAGATAAGAAATTTAGCCAGTGCAGTACAGCCGCTAGCCTAGGGTTTTTAACGTGCACCACGCAGTAGTAATACACGACCGCACGCCGGTACGATGCTCATCCAGTTCTAAACGGGCAGGGGCGGGGATTGAGCCCAGGATCCCTGTGTTCTGCAGCGCGAGCTTTCGCTCGACGTGCTCCGAGCTGGTGGGCGCTAACCCACTCGGCCACCGATCCTTTTTTTTTTTTTTTTTTATTGTTAGGCATCATTTATTTCAGGGTGTCGAACCGGAACCGAACCGAACCGAAAACCGGAACCGAACCGGTATTTTTTCCGGAACTGAACCCGAACCCGAACCGTTATATTTTTATCGCGATAAACCCGAACCGGAACTTTTTTTTTTTTTTTTTGCCTTGTATGATGTCTGGGTGTTATCACGATGTTATGTTACTGTGGGTTTCTGCATGCGCGGATTCTTTTTTTTTTTTTGCTTTTTGCTTTTTTTGTATTTGCCGCTGGATTTTGCCGTCCTTGCCGGCCGCTGGCACCTCGTCAGGCAACCTGTTTGCCTTTTGTGCCAGCGGGCCGTTCAAGTCGAATTTGTATTTGACTTGAAAAAATAAAATGATTGATTGATTGATTGAAAAAACCGGAAAAAAAATAACGGTTACCGGCTCATGTCAAAACGGTTCGGTCACGCGCTGTTGACAATGAATGTGCTATCAATGCCATTTGTTCTTTAAGTGCCGTCAACTGACACACACCTCGCTTACATATTTTCCTTCTCCACTCAGTCTTAGGAATATAAACGCTGCATCCACGAATCTTGACAAACGCTGCATCCATGAATCTTGACATAGGAACCAGTATTGCGCTGGTCGCGGCTTGCACGAAAGAAAAAGAATTAAAAGGCTGTGCAAAAAAAAAAAAAAAACGCGTCACGGAATTTTATTTTTTTACTATCTCGTAAATCCTATATGCTGCTGTGTGCTCATTTCATAACACGTTTCTAGAACGCGCGAGTTCTTGAAGCTTGCTTCCATCGGAATGAGAAAAGAAAAGGCTGTGGAGTTTGATAATAATGCATCCAGTTTCGTATAGGCACTTAGAAGCTAACATATTTGTGAGACAGCGAACTCTTCTATTTTAATATTTATCCTATTACGTCCTTCTGGCGTTGCGTTCGGTGAAGTGTTTTTCATATTCCGTATCTTGTTTAATGAAACTTCTTTAAGGGTCTAATTTGAGTTACCGAAGGCTAGTTCAAATAAAGAAAGCTGTATTTTCTCCCCACTGTTCCTTCAATTGCTTACTCGCCGAGGTGGCGGGATAGTTAGCGAGTTCTACTTGTAAGTGGGTTTGTAAGGAGGTCGCGGATTTTACAGCTACTGCGTCGGACCCAATTAGATGAAGTCCGAATGTGTAAACGTCGGTGAGGTAACCTTTGAGTGGGATGAGGACGATTCGTCACATGCGCACTCGTCACAGGACGATAGTAAATTGTAAATCTCAACAACCGCCCACATTCCCTGATGAGGAGTTTCACGACTTCCTGCTGTGACATAAACCAATAGTTAGAAAAACTAATCTTACGATACTCATCCGCTTTTCCTTTCATCATATTACGACTCTTCAGCAGGTTGACCTAAGTTGCTGGCTTGAACGAGCAATAACCCGATTGGCAGCCAAATAAGTTTTTACTTTGTCTTGCATACACCTCTTCGAAAAAACCAATAAGTATCGGAATTCTTTCTGCTGCATGCATGTGTACGAGTACCCCTCGTGCAGCTGCATGGCTCCACCTCTCTCTGTTGCGATCACCTCCATCCTTTTGAATGTAGCCCGAGTTCGAAAATAGTCGCTTTTATATGGCCTCCCCATTCACCGTTTGGGACGGACCCAGAAGTTAAAACGTCTGCTACAAATTCTTCGACCTTGAGAAGCGAAAGACGTGCTAAGAGAAGAGCTGTCCCACTTTGTCAGGCCGAACCAAAATTCAATGTTCGGGACCGAACCAGAAGCTAAAACGTTTGTTACAAATTCTTCGCCTTTCAGAAGCCAAAGACAAAACTAGATATGAGGTGAGGCACGTTGTCCGCCGGAACCAAATTGAACAATACATTTTTGGGGGGACGAACTATTGTAGGACCGGTTGGCCGCGTGACGAGTCATCCTATGACGAATGTTCCTGTGTGACGAATCGTCCTGTGACCAATCGTCCTGTGACGAGTGCGCATGTGACGAATGGACCGTATCCCCCTTTGAGTGCACATAAAGAAACCATTCCTGGTAGAAATCCCTGAACCTTACACTACGATGTATCCCGTTTCGTATGTGCTGATTTCAGATGTTTTATTTGTAATTTATTTTGATGTTGCAATTTGTCATTTATAATTTCTGAACCGGTTCGCAAACCGGTTCAGCGCCCCGAACCGGTTCGCGAACCGGTTCGCGGATCGAATTAATCGAACCGGAACTGAACCGGAACAAAATAAATTTACCTGAACCTGAACCGTAACCGAACCCGTATTTTTTTCGGTTCGACACACTGATTTATTTACAAAAATACAATTTTAGAAACACTTATAAAAAAGGACAAACTGGATACGGATTTATAAAACTCTGAATTGCTTCGTAATCGATAATGCATGTTTACCTCCTGTTATTTTATGTATAAGTCTCTGCACAAAAAAATATTAAACCTAAGACGACAACAGTTTTTCTTTTCTAAATATCCATAAAGACGGTTTCACGCAGTCGCAAAAACAAGCACGTACACCAACAGTGACTTTGTGATTTTTTTGTTCCTCAAGAGAGATCTTATTTCTCGCAAAAAAAGTTTGAATATGTTTTTGCGGTTGCACAACAAGTAAAATATATCTTTTGGTAAAAATGAAAAAAAATGTCGACCGGACATGGTCGTTCGATCCTATCTGAAAACACCCAAAAAAGACAATCTCAGGCAATCAATTTTTTTTTAGGTATCTTTTATTTTCTACGCATTGTGCGGCCCTCCACGGCGGCGGATCTATTGGCGCTCACAGGCGGCGCAGGTTCAGGTTCTGCCGCGCCCGACCTCCGATATCATGTTACCGCCAAGGTCGTACGCTGATCTGTTTGCAAAGTCGCTCCGGTTGCTTCCTTTGCGTCTCGTAGACGGAGACGCTATACGCCGGCTGTTGAAACAGGCAACGCGAAGCGTGTTACAGGGTGGCGCACCTCGATCGCTCCGGCTCATGGGCTTTTTTGGGTCGGTTGTACGAAAATGTATTAGGCGTTTTCCCTTCAAAACTACCGTCAACCTCTGTACTGTCAATTGGTCTTTTCCTGACCACCCCGTAGCATTTTTACGCTGTTTAATAATAATGAAATTGTGAAAAACGGGGAGTATGCACGCCCCATTTATGGGAACTGCGTTA